GGATTCTCTAATTCTGATTGGTGCTTTTGCTGGAGTTAAGAAGCAAGCAAAGTGAGCCAAAAACTGGCGCGTTTTATGTACTCATAACCTGTTAGAAATCGATAGTCTTATAACGCACTCATACTTGTACCTATTATTACTTCTGGCGGTTTGATACGTTCGGGATTGAACTGTCTTCGGGACTGAAGTTCGTCGAGATCGTTGCCGTGGCGCGCCTAAAAGCGTAAGATCCAAAATGGACACAACGATACTAATGGTACCGTAGGTAGTACTCGACCAGTACTGTACAATTATGAGTACCATACCGAACCGTGAGAACAAAGTCGTCATCTGCTATTACGGTGCTCGTAAGTAAATACGTAAGAGTGTTCAGTCGAGTCAAGGAAAATTGTACTGACTACCACTGACGGAGACAAAGACATCAAATGCCATTTGGAACCAGCTGGTTCCAACCAATTAAAATCAAGTATTAACCAATCAGAATCTATTAAATCTATTAAAGTGTATTTTCGATGTCTTTCTCACCACACAAACGTCAGTCACCTTCACCACGGATTTTTAGATTTTAGATCTTTGGCTTACGAACCCAGAATTCAGCTTTGAGACCTTGCCGTACGTGCGAACGTACTGTAAGTGTCGTAAATCTCTTGAAAAGGAGAAGAGAATTTCGACAACTACAAATACATTTCTTTGTTCTCACAATTCGTCTTTGACATCAACTCAGAACAGAAAACAAATCAACAAAAATGAAATTCTCTGCTGCTGTCCTTATTGCCACCGTTGGCTCTGCCGCTGCCTTCTCTGGAAGCTCGTAAGTGGATGAACGCATCGAGGAACTTCGAACTCGAGCAGAAATATTTTGACGGAGCTACTTGTCGAATGTCGTTTTCCGTCGTTACTCGTTGGTGTCGCCTTCAGATTTTCTGCAGACATGATGAAGTATTCTCACATATGAACACCATTGGCGCTCCTTTAAAATCCAATTATATTATCTCGTGACATACAACAACAGTTTCTCTGGACTTTCCCTCAAGGCCGCCAACAACGATTCCGCTATGACCATGTCCGCAACCGGCATGGGAGTGAACGGATTCGGACGTATTGGACGTCTTGTCACCCGTATCATGATGGAAGACGATGCCTGTGATCTCAAGGCTATCAACGCTGGATCTGCCACCCCTGAATACATGGCCTACCAATACAAGTACGATACCATCCACGGAAAGGCCAAGCAAACTGTTGAAGTTGACGGTGACTTCCTTGTCCTTGACGGAAAGAAGGTTCAAACTTCCCGATGCCGTGACCCTAAGGAGGTCGGCTGGGGTGCCCTCGGAGCCGACTACGTCTGCGAGTCTACCGGTGTCTTCCTGACCAAAGAAAAGGCCCAGGCCATCATTGATGGGGGTGCCAAGAAGGTCATTTACTCTGCGCCTGCCAAGGATGACTCTCAAACTATTGTCATGGGTGTCAACCAAGAAGACTACGATGGATCCGAGGACTTCATCTCTTGCGCTTCGTGCACCACCAACGGACTTGCCCCCATGGTCAAGGCTATCCACGACGAATTCGTCATCGAGGAAGCCCTCATGACCACTGTTCACGCCATGACTGCCACCCAGGCCGTTGTTGATTCCTCCTCCCGAAAGGACTGGCGTGGAGGACGTGCTGCCTCTGGCAACATCATCCCTTCCTCCACCGGTGCTGCTGTTGCTGTCACCAAGGTCATTCCTTCCCTCACTGGAAAGATCACCGGTATGGCATTCCGCGTTCCCACCATCGATGTTTCCGTTGTCGACTTGACCTGCAGACTTCAGAAGGCTACCACCTATGAAGAAATCTGTGCCCACATCAAGGCCCGCTCTGAAGGATCCCAAAAGGGATTCCTCGGATACTCTGATGAACCTCTTGTCTCCACTGACTTCGAAGGTGACCTCAGATCCTCCATCTTTGACGCAGACGCCGGTATCATGCTCAACCCTAACTTCGTGAAGCTTGTCGCGTGGTACGATAACGAATATGGATACTCTGGACGTGTTGTTGACTTGATGAAGCACGTCGCTACCGTCGATGCCAAAGTTTCCGCCTAAGTCGATCGATTGTTCGTCCTGCGAAGCTAATTTGAAAAGAAACAAAACTGGGTACCTCTGATAAATTATTATAATCGATTTTTTTTCCGAAATAGTTTACACCCCTTGCCACTCGCGAACTCATCCGGAACAGCGGTCCGCCTGAAAAGGATCGCAGACAAGTCCAAAACACATTGGAGATAGTCGTGTACGTGATGACATGCATTCTACATAGTTTATTTTCAATATTTTTTATGATCAAGTTGTACCACACGGTACTATTTGTACTTGGAAAACTTGGTCGTTTCATGCGAGGACGTACCGTACCGAAAGCAAAAAATGAACAAAATGTGCGTCATCCATTAGTTACATAAAAATCTACTGTGGATTTATCTTTGAACACGTTCATCTCGGTGATCTGTGAACCGTACGGCAATAACCACCATAGTCGCCCTCATACTGTAACTACAGACAATATCGACATTCAATATGACGAAATTTCCTTCGACAATAGTGCAAGCGTTAGCAGCTTCGGCATTTTTCTCTGGAACATCACTTTCGCTGTCGCCATTTTCTTCAAAATCTTCCACGACGTCGGCCAAAACTACAAGCGCCATCACCGACCTCATGCATGAAGCGGCAGTGGCGGAAACAGAACGACTCTTCCAATTCTACAGCAGTAACGGAAACTACAATACTGAAAACACAGAGAACAATAATTACCCAACAAAAATAGAAGCATCGCCAGTAATTACGAGCCCACCAACGGTATGGCGATCTAGTGAGGAGGCTGTTACCTACATCCGCGACAATATCGATACTGTTCTTTTCGATTGCGACGGTGTCTTGTATCGAACAACATCTCTTTGCCCAGGGGCTTCCGAATGCATACGGGAACTGATGGAAATCCACCACAAAAGAGTCCTTTTTGTAACCAATAATGCTGGTGTAAATCGACGGGAACTCAGGGAAAAATTGTCGCGGTTGCTGCGAATCGACTCGTTAACAAACGACCAAATGATATCGAGTTCGTATTCGAGTGCACAATACCTCAAAAGCGAACTCATGGCAGCGTCGAAGGAATTAGGTAGCACGACCACTGCGAGTAGCACCCCGCCTCGTGTCCACGTTATTGGCAGCAGCGGACTGTGCGAAGAACTTGTGGCGGCCGGATTCAACGTCACGGGTGGTCCAAGCACATCATCGCCCGAGCATGACGAATGCTGTAGCATGAGCCGAGAAGAATTGGCTGCCTATGACTTCGAACAACTCCATCCCATCGATGCCCTGGTGGTCGGTCACGACACCGACCTCAACTTTCGAAAGCTTTGCATCGCAGAGAATCTCTTGCTGCGCAATCCCGAAGCCCTATTTGTGGCGACCAACAAGGACTCCTTTGATGTTGTAGATGGGAACAACAACGATTTGCGGCACATAATGGGAAACGGGGCCACCGTCGTAGCGTTGGAATATTCCTCAAAACGAACCGCGATCAACGTTGGAAAACCAAGCAAGGAATTGTTCGGATTGATCAGAAATCAAGACAGTAGTGGTGCGAAGAAACCAAGCGGCAATGTCTTTGATGATCCATCACGTTGTTTGTTCGTAGGAGACCGTCTGGACACAGACATTCGATTCGGCAAGGACAATGGGATGAAATCCCTGTTGGTAATGACCGGGGTAACGTCAGCGAAAACTATGGAAGAACTTGCGAACGGAACAGAGGAAGAACCCTTACCTGATTTTATTCTTCCCCATGTAGGCATGTTGATATGATAACGATGTGTTCGAGCTTACAGTGCATGGCGTAATGCATGGTCAAAGGTCTCACTTAGGGAATGGATATGGTGGGAAAAAGAAAATCAATCATTCGTTTTCTTTTTAATAGTTCTCCATACTTATTGTTCGGCCTTTTGGGTAACTCTTTGTAGATGCATGGACAATTCCCAATAAACCCTACTATTTCTTGATGTGCACATGATCTATTCTATTCTATGAAATTTAGGAGACTATCATTGCTATTAGCCAGCAGGGGGCGTGAAGAGTTTCTTCTTCAGCAAAGGTTTCTTGGTTCTCATACCCTCCATGACAGCAGTCATACTGCCTCGAATCGCTTTCGTGCTTTTCTTGCCAGCAACAACCGCTCCGTTTATAAAATCGAGAGGGCCTTGCCTACCGGTAGCTGTGCGGAGTGAATTGATTCGTTGGGACTTGATTTTGTTTGCCGTTTCGATGGACTTCGCAATCTCCTCGATTGTATAACCAGCATGTAAGAGGCTGAAATTGGAAAAGGAACAATAGAGTGAAAGAAACTCAATGCGATAGGTCAGAAAATTGTGAATAGTTCGATTCAGTGGAACAATATGCTTTCACCCTGGTTTGAAGCGTAATAACAACACCTTACCATTTTGTTCTTTTTATTGGGCATATCACGAGTCTGTTCCTGCTGGATCGACGTCTTGTATACTCGTAAAAGCGGACCTCTATAGTGTATTCTCTCTCGAAGTTCCAGCCAATAGTTATAGGTGGGCCTATGGGACAAGCAAAACTTGTTAGTTTATTGCCAGTTCCACAACGATTCTGAGATTTCACCTTAGAATCATCTTATTGCACATTTCTTTGCTCTTGTTTTTTACAATTCAAATGACCTAGATCTCACTTACCATCAGTAACGGCGGGATTATCACCAAGGCATAGTGGGTACTCTCTGATCGAGATCGCATCGAAGATAACTTTCTTCAAATCGTATTCATGGCCTTGTTTTGGACTCGATTTTGAATTCTTCAAACAACTATTCGGGGACGAATAACTAACACTAACAATCGGAATAGAGGAGGAACTCATATTGGTGGTGTTATGCTAATGGAATTGAAGAGAGGAATATTTACCAAACATAACAAGTCATCGGAGATTATATGTTTGTGTTTGTTTGTTGCGACGACAGAAAGTAGACGCTTTTTTTCACTTCTTTTTGTCAAATGAAAGAGCAAATCGTACCGCATCGTCACGACGACGACGGCACGTGCAAGTTGCAAGGGGGTGTAACGCTGCGGATATAATGTTTTTGGGAATCAAAACAATACTACGAGTTTCGTAACAAGTGAAACAGGTCTCCGCAAGTGAGCAAAAAGTTATGAAACTGGTAGTAATGACTTTTATTCCACAGCCTTAATTAAATCCATAAACTCTACTGGTGCCCTCTTTTCCCGTTAGTTCATAGAAGTTCTTCTAATACTTCTCGTAGGTTGCAGGAAAGTCTGAACATTAAACAGTATTTTTCGAATGAGCCACCTTCTCTGCCAAGATTGAACCAAAAACGAAGTACGAAGTAGAGTATTTGATACTACTAATAGGAAAGGCCCAGAGTCCTGTTACACATATCTATTTCTATTTTCAACATAGAACAAAGCCGTTCGGTTTTGATTGACACATATCTATTTCTGTTTTCAACATAGAACAAAGCCGTTCGGTTTTGATTGAGGAATACTCTTACTGTACCGTATCACTATTTTGACTACGTACTCGTCGTACGCTTTTGTGTATTGGATAGTCGACCTTAATGACAGCAAATAGGCTTTCAGTAAAGCATTCTTCAACAGGGGTGTCATTGCACAAAAGAAAGGCTGTCATCTATAGTAGTGCTCTTTGTTGTATTTATTACTATTATGTATTAGTAGTACTTCTACTAGTACTCCTAGTACTTTCTATCTCCTCCTCCTCCTACTACTACTAGCTACCTGCCTTTGTTGGTGTACATGATGAAGCAAACACCACCAAGAAGAAGAGCAGGAGGAAGAAAAGTTGTTGTTGTAAGCTCAGATTAGTAACAAGTCAAGACTATTAGTAGTACTAGTACTACCAATACTATTAGTACTTGTTGAACTGTATCTCTGACTCAAAAAACTAACCTCCTCTCCGATCACTCCTCCACTAATAAACTACTTAAAGTCCCCTGCATACTACTACTAGTAGTAGTACTACTACTACTAGTAGTAGTAGCTAGTAGTTTGGGCAATTTTATTGCCAGGCTGTTGTTTCCTTTTTCTTAATGCTCAGCAGCCTCAACAAACCCACAAACAGAGACAAGGAGCTGGCAGCACTGATAGCTACTAGTATGCTGGCCATATAAGAACCCCCAAACAGAAAGTTGTTTGACTGAGACAGAATTTTCCAAAGACTTCTCTGACAAAATTGCTGGTGCTGTATGCCCAACCAAACAAGTACCAAGAAGCCTCCAATGCAGAGGAGTAGATAGCACTGATAGTTGCCTCTTCTGATAAAATTGACATTTAGAATGATGTACTAGACACTCTCCCTAGTACTACCACCAAGGATCAGGAGAGACATTTTGTCAACTACCAGATCTTCTTCTTGTAGAGGAGCATGGGAAATCATGCCACTGCTCGACACCATTTTCTTTTGTGACATAATTTTCTTTTCCCATCCAAACAAAAAATCAAATCAAAACAAATGGTGAAAAGGACAAGGAAAAGGACTGCAACAACAACAATGACAGCAATAACAACAACAATGACATGGACTTTGATGACAACAATGAAGATTCCAATTACCAATCCCTGGATAATACTATACCACTAGTCATAACTGGTGATCCAGAGGAAAATAAAGGGTACCATCAGTACATGAGAGGAGATAAGAATCTTTCCAGACATCCAATGGACAGCATCAGTACTATAACTCCACACACTGGCACCACCAGCCATGTCTCCGCCAACAGTCACTAATCCGGAAAGAGGTTTAGCACAGAACTCACTGAAGCACTGAAGGGTGAAGTGTTTACACAAGTGTTGGTACATGTGAGGGATAGTTGGTATGCAAGCCTCAAGTTTCCAAATGACAATGTCATCCCAATGATTGTCCAGGACATCATAGATCAAAATTCTGTTGCCCAGCCAAAGGAGATGTCTAAAACTGATTTTTGATGGTGGTTGGAAGGCCAAATTCCAAGATCCTTACCAACAACACTCTGTGGAAATATCCAAAACTATGCAGGGAAGAAGTATATGTAAGATCAAGAATACTGTGATGTAATGCTGGGCCATCTACTAGTGGAGAAAGGAAACTGATGCAGCACTTGCTTGTTCATGTTCTTCCTTTGGTTTTTCCAAAACTTATATATAGATGATTACACCAAGGTTGGTTTGTACCAGATGGTTTTGCACAGAGGATTGCACTGGTTAAAGATAATGATGGTACCATAGAGGTGGGCCCAGGAGGTAGGAGCATTGAAGATAAACTCAAGGAAAGGTTTCTACTTGAAGCAGGCATATCAGCAGTGGGAAATCCTAATGGCAACAACAAAGAAGGTGTGTTAGATGATGATGATGATGATGATGATGACTAGTATGACTATGACATTGTCATGACGATGACGATGACAATGAGGATGGCAATGGCGATGAGGATGAGGATGGCAATGATGACGAGGATGGCGATGATGGCGATGATGACGATGATGATGAGGATGACAAGGATGACAAGGATGAAAAGGATGAAGAGGATGACAAGGATGATTGTGATGATTTCATTTGTCCTTCTATTTGAGAGGAAAAGTTGGAGCAGTATCAAAAGGGGAACATTCCTTTTGAAGGGGTCTAGAATCTGCGGTGGTAACAATGGCTTTCCCTAGTACTGGTAGCAGTAATGTCATAGCTAAGTAACCATATTCCATAAAAAAATTCACAGATTCACAATGGTTTGGCATTTGAGTCTATGATTTTAATTGCAGAAAATTAAAAAAAATCATTTTTTTCTGTTACACCACCCTGGAAAATCCGAAACAGAACTATTTATTCCAGTCAAAACACCTTAAAGATTTTGAAACCCAAACTATTTATTCCAGTAGTCGCACACTTTGAAAATTCAAAACCAAACAATTTATTCCAGTCACGACACCTTCAAGATTTCAAACCAAACAATTCATTTCAGCCACAACACCCTGGAATTAACAAAACTGAGCAAAAAATAAAAACAACAATCAAGCTGAGGATTCTGTTCAACTGAAATATTTTCCAGTAGGTAGTGAGCTGGGTTGGGAATCCATGTTACCGTGTTATTTTCACTAACAAAATGGTGTTACAGGCAGGTATGGAAGACAAAAATATACAACATTGAGGTGGGTTGAGAAACAGTTCTTGGACATATGTTGGTATGATCAAATTCACAAACTGTATCAATTTAGATCTCTGGATTCATTCTTGAGGGAAGAATTAAGCTACAGATGTGCAGCATGGAAAGAAAGCTCATGTAGAATTTGTCATAGGTAAACAGAGTGTCATGACAGTGTTGAAAGGAAAGGGACATACATTCCTTGGTGCCATTTGTTGAATATTAGCTTTGCCACAAGGAACAAAACCACCCACCTAGAGGATTCAGAAATTTGGAGTCAAGTTGCTGGTTGCTAATGTCTTCAGATGGGATGTGCTTATGGGCATCTGCGGTATCTGACAACAGCTCAGCATCACATTTTGTAAGCAAATCCCAGCTATTACTGCACATGGTTTTTTCAACAGTCCCCTTGCTGACCAACTTCCAGAGGCTATGTCATGCACAAGAATGGCCAATGACTTCTCCATTTGGTTGACATAAAGCTCAAATTCTTTTTATACGTTTGGACAGAGGGATTGTATGAGAATTTTCTGTCTTTATTTGGTTACAGAGGAAGGTCAACATACTTAAAGTACCACTCTAACAGGTTCCAAACAGCTTTGATGTACTTAATCACCTCCCATCTCTTATTAAATCTGAATCTTCTGTAAAGAGCACTGGAAAACTTGGTTCTTGGGACCGCTTTGTACTGGGGATCTCCCCTACAGCTTGAGTGGTTGGATCATGCATTAGGAAAATCTTCAACAATGGGTGGAGGGTAAGGGGAACATCACCAAGTTTACCATTTTTGGCTTCCAGAACATCTGACTGAGGACAGGTAACTACACCCTTGACACCATGATAACATAGTTTTTAGATTGCCAGGGAAAAGGAATGATGGGTAGAAGTGTGCACCTGTTTCACACATCATGCCATCACCTCAAATACTTACTATCCACTAAAAAAGGATTGTTATACAGTACATTTTTCACGTGAAATTGATCTGGATGCATGTAAACTATTAATACTACTACAGAAGCATCATGTTAGTAGGTATATTGACATTATCAGGTATGTACAATACTAGGTATTCTGAGGTTTGGACATGAATGGAGGGAGTGCATATTTCTTGTTGATGAATAGCTAGAAGTATAGACTAACACAAGCTACTAAACGGTTACCAAAAACTACCAATTTATGTACAGATTCTTATCAAGAGACATGTCCTTGCAAGTAGTCAGACAGAATGAAGAACAGAAGGAGAGAATGGTGGCCACTTGTGACAAAAGACTGGGCTATGTAGAGACATTTTTGAAACAAACACTATGTAACTGCATAAGGAACAGTTTGTTCAAGCACACAAAGTCCCCTGCTGTAAAGGACAAAGTTGTGGAAAACATAAGTAGTAGTTTAAAAACAGGTAAAAGAAACTTGTGGTGGGGAGGATCCCCCAGTGGGCCTAGTGATCATGTCTACCAGTTGTTGGGTGGGAACTTGGATACTTTGAGAGTTGATCAGAAACATATTGTTACAATGTTATTCTTGATGTTGCAAGGAGAAAAACTGATGAGGATAAA